CTCCCTCCTTTGGGTCCTTGGTCAAGAGGTCTGATGGTCAGCAGAACAGACGGCTGCCTACAGAAGTGATGGGGTGAAAGAAAGGGCTTAATCGCTGCCTGGGCACAACTCGAATTCAGGTCTCCTGACTCCCCACAGTGCTCTTTCCACTCCACTAGTTTTTTATGTCCTAGCAGTCATTTTTCCCTTAGTAACAATGAGTTTATCAGCTCTTCTCCTGAGAGGAAGAAGGGGAAGAAAGCATCAGCCGCTCTAGGCAGCTGCATATGCAGAAGAGAGAACACCATGGTGGGTGCAGATTGTCAGATGTGGGAACAGAGGGGCCCGCAGATCAGTATCAGGGAGCACTGGAGTCTCTACCCATACCCCTCCCACCGGAGTCAGGGTCCGGAAGGCAAGGTGGTTAAGAAATGAGATTCAGCAACCAGGCTTGGGAGTTTTGAATCCCAGCTCTGCTATTTACAAGTCATATGACCCTGGGCAGGTTTCTCTGAGCTCTAGTTTCATTTGCAAACTGGGAAGAATAATAGTACTTATTCCTCGTGATTGTTGGGAGGATCGAATGAGATGATGGGTATAAAGTGCATGGCGTGGCACATTATAGTGGGCTGTTGAGGGCTCAGTAATTACAGCAGCCACTGCGATCTTCACTCTAAGGGGTGTACTCAGGGCTTCTCGTTCCCCTTCCCCACTTGGGGATTCAACCCTGTCAGACCCAGGTCTCCTGACCCCGGGGCAGCTCTTCCTTGAGTCTGCCCTCATCCCTTCATCTCCTGAAGGCCTGTCTTCAGAACCCCTCATCCACTGTCCAGGGTGGGTCTTTCAAGGACCACCACTGAAGAGGCTGGGAGAAGAGGGAGCTGTTACGACTTTTATGGGTGGCAAGCTGCAGTCAGGAAGACTGGGAGCTCAGCAAGGGGGCTGCCCTCTGTGGGCCACAGCCATCTCTTGTGTCTCTGACGCTGGGGACCACAATCTTGAAGCCAGCTGGCTGAGGCATCACCAGAGGTGGCAGTTTCCTAGTCTGGGGAATTTGGGGTAGAGCTGCCGCCCCTGATGCCCTGCAGTGGGGGGATCTGAGGTGCCTCTAGTTGGCCCAGCCCCCCATTCTCTCAGCCTTGTTTGTGCAGGGTGGCAAAAGTTGTCTGGATTGCTGGCTGGGTCTGGTCCAAGCCTCCTGCCAAATTCCTTTTCCATGGAGTCACTGTGGGCTGGGATGGGGGTACGGGAGCTCCCTCAGAGGCAGGGCTGTCTCACCCCCTGGCCTTTTCTGCTGGGTTCCTCTGGCCTGGGAACAGTAGCGTGGGGGAGGGTCCCAGGCTGGCTGGAGGTCAGCAGACCAGGTCCTGGCCCATGGCCTTCCCTGTGACCCTCTCACTCTCCAAGGCCTCCCAGGCCTCCTCGGGGCCCTTCAGGTTCTAACACTGGAGCATTTTCTCGCCCTGTGACCCCGAGAACCAGCCTTGGGATAGGACTGAAACAGAGACACGAAGAGAAAAAAAACAAGCACAGGGACTTGGGGAGGTCTGAATTACACACACGGAGGCCCTGTCTAGGAGCCTGGCACTGTGGAAGCTGCTGGCTGGAAAGCCCGGTGCTCCCTGGAGTCCTGAAGAGCCAGGGGTGAGCCAGCCCCCGCTGCTTTCCGGCTCTGTGACCTTGGGCGTTATCTCTGAGCCTTGGTTTTCTCATCACTGAAAAGTGAATCACAGGGGCTTCTCTGGTGGCTCAGCGGCAAGGAATCCGCCTGCCAGTGTGGGAGACACAGGTTTGATCCCTGATCTGGGAAGATCCCACATGCCAAGGAGCAACTGAGTCCCTGCGTTACATCTACCGATCCCATGCTCTAGATCCTGGGAGCCGCAACTGCTGAGCCCAAACACCACAACTAGAGAGTAGCCCCCACTCCCCACAACTAGAGAAAAGTACACGCAGCAACAAAGATTCAGTACAGCCAAAAATAAACAAATAAAATGATTTTTTAAAGTGAATGATAGTAATTTGTGCTTCATAGAATCGTTTTGGGAATTAAATAAAATAGTATGTGTGAAGTCTGGGTACACAGCAAGAGCCCAATCAGTATGAGCTACGATGGCTGCAGCTGTGTCATAAGAGCCGCTGGTGGGCCCAGGGACGTTTATCCTGACCGTGCCCTGTGGGATGGGACTTGTGGCTGAGTCTCTGCAGGGCCGTAAGTTGTAAAGAGAAAGCACTTTATCTGTGTGGCAGTGGGGGGCAGAGCCATGTCAAGAGGTGGGAGTTAATATAAGGAGTGACTTTAGAGCTGAAGAATGTTAATTAGTAGAAGGTGCATCCTTAGGGTAGTGAGCGCCCTGTCAGTTGAGTGTGCAAGGCTTGGACACTCAGGGACGTGGTTTCAGGGGTGCTGGAATTGTGTGGGGAGGTGGACACGGTGACAGCCATCCCTGAGATTCTGAGGTTCTGTGACTTGGGACAGTGATCCCTGCCTGCTGATTACCCTGGAATCCCCTGCTGTGTGACCATTAAAGAGTCATATCCCCTCAGGACTATGATCTGTGGAATGAATCTCCTTTGCTAGAAGCAGCTCTGACCCCTTCCAGGGAGTCACGTGGGGTCACCAACTGCCAGGTCCATTCCAGGGAAGCATGGGCCCTCTGTCCTGTCTACTTGGGCTGAATGACAACAACCCCCCCAGCACCTGTGACCTCATCATAGCCTCCAAACCCTAATGTCAGGGCTTTTACTGCCTTCTCAATTAAGGAAACTGGCTCCGAGAGGAGCAGTCACTTGCTAAGGTCACACAGCTAGCAAATAGCAGAGGCCTGGTTTCTGAGCAGAGCAGAGGACAGGGACATCGCATGAGCTGAGCAACTCCTCCTGTGTGGCTGACCTGCCCCTACCTAAGTTACCCCTGGGAAGCAGCCTGGCTCAACCTTTAAAGCTGTCACCTTTTATCGATGGGGTGATCCAGGCAGGAGAGGAGCTCTACCATGAGCAAACAGGTATCAGGGGGCAGGCTGAGTTACAGCTGTTCTGCCCAGGTGCGCGCAGGTGTGTGTGGTGGGGAGCCAGGTGGTGATGGGAAGAAGGAAGGAGGAGGTTGGGGCCAGAGAGCCTGTGGTCCCGTGAACTGGCTGTCGGCAGTCACTGTGCTCCGGGTGGGTCTCCCCTGGTGTGAGCTCCACCTGAGTCATCTCCAGACCTTGATTTATTCATCTATAAAATGGGGGTGATAGTGAAAAAGCTCCTTTGTAAGGGCCCTTCCAGCTCTGAAAGTCCATGAATTCTGAGCTTTGCTGGCAAGATGCCTAGGAAAACTGTCCCGGGAGACCCACTCAGCATGTCATGGCCAGTGCTAATGAGGGCAAGGTAGGAGGGAGGGCAGGGTCAGATTCCTCAAGAACTAATTAGCTCCCTCGGTGGGGAGGGGTGACAAAGGGAGCAATTTTCCCAGCCACCGACTGAGCTGCTAGCCCTGGCCACAGGCTGTCCCATCCATCTGTGCATAGGTCCATTTGTTCATGTGTCCATTTCTTCATTCCTTACTCAATAAACACAACGTGAACACTGACTGTGTGCCAGCTGGGCACTGGTGATAGAAAGAGGAATGGTCGCCTGTGGTGAATTTACAGATTAAGAGGGCCTGACCCCACCTGATCCCTGACCTCAGGCCCCAGACTGAACCCTGACTCCCACCGACTCTGTCCCCTGTATGTCCCAAGAGGGACCTCTGGGACAAGCAGGTAGCTTGAGCATGTGCTGTGGCCCAGAGAGAACTGGTTCTGACTCCAGCCTTGCCACCGTTTGCTGTGTGATCTTGGGTGAGTTACTTACAAGCCTCTGGACCTCATTTTCCACTTCTGTAAAATAGGGGTTCCTAGGGTTCTTGTGAGGATAAGATGAGGTAATGTGCTGTTCTAGTATAGTCACTGCTGAAATTAGCCCAATGTATTACCTTTATAATATTAGAGTGTGAGAATTTTTAAATGATTGTTTAAATGAAAATGGGAAGAAATTTTTCAAGGACTTATAAGAAACCATTAACAGTTGCTACCTGATTTGTGATATGGAGCACTCGGAGGTAGAGGGATTTTTTTCACCATATACCTTTTTATGTTTTTAATTTTTTTTAGTTCATGTAAATGTATCACCTATTCTAAAAAGGGGAAACATTAGTATTAACAGATGACTATACTCTGAAAGTATAAAGGGCCCTAAGAGATGCAGAGAAGATGTCCTGCCAGTTCACTCATGCAGATAGTAATGCTTACTAAGTGCTCACTTTTTGCCAGGCACTATTCTAGGGGCCAGGGTTAGGGGATGAACAAGTCAAGCAAGGTCATTTCCCCCTTAGAGCTTATGTTCTAGGCAGGGAGATAGATAATAGCCAAGGAAACTTGTAAAGAAGATAATACTGAACTGTGTTGAAAGCTATGAAGAAAACAAAGAGATGAGTTAGGAAAGGGTAGGGCTGATTATAGAGGAAGACCTCTCCAGAGAGGTGAGTCCTGAGTGATAAGAAGGAATATGGAATGCTCCCTGGGAAAAGATCATCCCCAGTAGAGGGAACCACAAGTGCAAAGGCCCTGGGGCAGGAACAGATTTGTCATTTTCAAGAACCAGAACGTCAACCTGGGCAGAGCCCAGTGAGAGAGAAGAGTGGCATAAGATGCGTCCAGGATGTAGTAGGGCCTTGACTGCTGGGGTGAGGCATTCTTGCTGAGTCTGGGAAAGTGCCGTGTCAACAACCTTCAGGGGGAATCCAAACAAGGGGTCCGTGAATACTGAAAGGGTAGTCTGGGAAAGTTTTACACGGTTGGTGGCATTTGAGTTGGGCCATGACGGTTGGGTCAGGGATCTTTATGAGGAGAGGAGGTTCTAGGAGACGGTGAGTAAAGATCAAATCCCAGAGGAAAAGGCCATCTGTAGCTGGGGAGCACGAGTGACCATCTGTCTGTCTGTGTACGGCTGTGGCTCTGCAATCCCATGTGCTAATTGGGCCTCTGTCCCTCCCGCAGCGCTGGGCCGGAGTACTAGCCTCACCGAGAAGGATCTAAAAGAGGCCAAGGCGAGGAGCCAGCAGATCGCAGCCCAGCTGACCACCCCTCCCAGCTCTAACTCCCGCGGAGTCCAGCTCTTCAACAGGCGTCGGCAGAGGGTGAACGAGTTCACCTTGGAGAGCCACGGCCAGAGGGGACCGAAGTCTAGCCAGGAGCCCCTCAGAGTGCCCCCCACCAGCCCCACAGGCCATGCCCCGGGGCTCAGCCTGAGTCCCACCTCTCTCCCTGAGCCAGGCCCTCTGAGAAACCCCGCCTGCCAGAGCACTGACACCGGGGTCCCCGGTCACAGCATGGAGGGCTGCTCGGAGGAGGCCAGCCTGCTCCGGCACCTGGAGAAGATGGCCAGCGAGGAGGAGGAGGTACCACTGGTGGTTTATCTAAAGGAGAATGCAGCCCTGCTGACGGCCAACGGGCTCCACCTGTCCCAGAACAGAGAAGCCCAGCAGAGTCCCCCAACCCCACCTCCAGAAGAGGTCCACAGCCCGGCCACAGATGCCAACCAAAACCTTCCCTCGGCCGGCACCACGCTCATCACGCCAGCTTCTAACGGCAACCACAACCTGCCAGCCACAGATGTCAACCAGAACCTATCGGCAGCCGTCACCCCGCAGAGCCTGCCGCTCTCCAGCGTCCAACAGAATTCTTCCGAGGCGCAGCTCCCTCCGAATGACACGGTGCCAGATTTCAAACCCAGCACCCCGTGTGCTGGCGGGCAAACCCAGGAGTCAGCCGCGGAGGTGAGATCCAGCACACTCCTAGTTGATAAGGTATCAGCTCCACCTACCGCCACCAGCACCTTCTCTAGAGAAGTTACTCCCATTTCCAGCTCCAGGCCCCTGGGCCCAGATTTCATGTCCAGCTCCCTGCTTATTGACGTCCAGCTTGGAGCCCCAGCCGTGTCCACAGAGCAAGAGATGTCCGGGCGGACAGCCGCCACCATGCCCACCAAACTGTACAGCGAGGTCCACCTCACGCTGGCCAAGCCTCCATCCGTGGTCAACAGGACGGCCAGGCCCTTTGGGATCCAGGCGCCGGGCAGCACTGGTCAGATGGAGCGAAGCCCCATGGTAGAGAGACGACATCGTGGGGAGAAGGTCCCTGCCCCCCAGCTCTCCAGTGTGGCAGACAGGAGCCCCCGGCCACAGAGACACGTAATGTCCCACAGCCCCATGCTGGAGAGGAGGCCCGTGGCACAGCGAAGCCCCGCCTTGGAGAGACGCCCCGTGGGAAACTTCACCCCACCGCCCACCTATGCCGAGACCTTGTCCACAGCCCCCCTGACTTCCCGGGTTAGGTCTCCCCCGTCTTATTCTGCCCTGTACCCCAGCTCCGACCCCAAGCCTTCTCATCTAAAGGGCCAGTCTGTCCCTGCCAGCAAGACAGGCATTTTGGAGGAGTCGATGGCCCGCAGGGGCAGCCGGAAATCCATGTTCACCTTCGTGGAGAAGCCCAAGGTGACCCCGAATCCAGACCTGCTGGACCTGGTACAGACGGCTGATGAGAAGCGCAGGCAGAGGGACCAGGGGGAGGCAGGCCTGGAGGAGGAGCCCTTCGCCCTTGGGGCCGAGGCCTCCAACTTCCAGCAGGAGCCCGCACCCCGGGACAGGGCCAGCCCCGCTGACGCCGAGGAGACCGTCCCCGAGTGGGCCTCCTGTCTCAAGTCACCGCGCATCCAGGCCAAGCCAAAGCCCAAACCCAACCAGAACCTCTCAGAGGCCTCGGGGAAGGGGGCTGAGCTCTATGCCCGCCGCCAGTCCCGGATGGAGAAGTATGTCATCGAGTCTTCGGGCCACACGGAGCTGGCCCGCTGCCCGTCACCCACCATGTCCCTGCCTTCATCCTGGAAGTACTCCACCAACGCGCCTGGCGGCACCTTCCGAGTGGCCTCCCGGAGCCCGGCCCGGACCCCACCTGCCTCGCTCTTCCATGGCTACCTGCCTGAGAACGGGGTCCTGCGTCCAGAGCCCACCAAGCAGCCGCCCTACCAAATGCGGCCCTCGCTCTTCGTCCTCTCACCCATTAAAGAACCTGCCAAGGCCTCGCCCAGAGCCGCCTCGCCCGCCAAGCCCAGCTCCCTGGACCTGGTGCCCAGCCTGCCCAAGGCGGCTCTCCCACCGTCACCTGCCCTGCCTCGGCCCTCCCGCTCCTACACCGCAGCTGGCCAGGATGGCCTCCAGCCCACCACCGTGAGCCCCACCTACAGCAGTGATATCTCGCCCGCGTCACCCTCCAGGGCATGGTCTCCCCGAGCCAAGCAAGCCCCCAGGCCCTCCTTCTCCACCCGGAATGCGGGGATCGAGGCTCAGGTGTGGAAGCCATCCTTCTGCTTCAAGTAACGGACCCCACAGGGATCCCACTGCCTGTCTGAGCCCCTGTCCGGGGACCGGATGGAGAGCAGGAAGTGGCACGGGGCTGAGTCAGGAGTATGGGGACTCAGGGCTGACGCTGCCACCAGCTAGGTTTGTGCCGTATGGGCAAGTCACCTCCCCTCTCTGAGCTATCGCTGCCCCTTCCCTCCTGCGAGGTGGCTGGACTCCACGTCTGAGAGATCTGAAGTCAGCTACCAGTGGGGAGAAGGGTCACGGAGAGAGGACCACTTGGCCGGCCCTAGTGAGACTGGGGGCTTCTTCACCTGGCCTTTGTGAGCTGTAGGGCTGCCAGCGTCTTGCTGAGGAAAGGCCTAGAAGGGCCCTAACGGGGGCTTCTGCAGCACACAGAGCCTGCCCTTGTGGTGGAACCGGCCAGCCCAGGGCCTGCCGCCCCAGTGGGCTGCCCTTGCCATGGCCCCGGCTCCGGCCTCTTTCTGCCTGTTGCTGGATTCTCACCTGCTTGGGTCTGTCTCTTCCACCTCTGCCTTCCGGACACTGTTTCCTCTCCGCTGCTTCAGAGACCTCTGCCTCGGCCTCCACACTATCTCCTCTCCCGGGTTCTGCTGGATGAGGACTCAGCCCACCACGACTGGCTGACGCTTTTCTTCCTGCCCCTCTGCTCAGCTGCCTTCACGCCCTCTCCGAACATCTGGCTCTGCTTTCTAGACAGCTTATGCAGTTCATCCCAGACCTCAGTCCTGGTTCCACCTGGCTTGCCCTCACTGTTCTGGGGTGTGGGAGGTCCCCAGGGATCCCCGAAAGAAAGCCCAGGGAACGGCTCTGCAGAGGTGGGTGTGTAGCAGGGAGAGAGGTCCCTAGAAATAGATCCATTGGCTGTTTTGGTTTCACCCTCAGTCCAGATCTGCATGGCTGAAAGAAACCATCCACGTGACACAGAAAGGGGCCCAAAGGAGAGAGGCATCTCGGCCTCCCGTTTGCTGTGTGACTTTGGTCAAGTCACTTTCCCTTCCTGGGCCTCAGCTTTCTCATAAATACAATGAGGGCCCTCCTAGCTGTGACCATCTGTGAGGAATAAGAGGATAGGACAGGCTGGTACTTTGGGAGAAAGGTCCTGTAAGTGACAAGAGAGTCCCCTGGGAAGAGAGGGGAAGGGAATTAGGATAAAGGTGTCCTAGGACAGATGGGAAGTAGATGTCTGTAAGGGCGTCCGAGGAGGGTGTGGCTGAGGAGGCCAGGAAATCAGAAGTTTAGGCTCAGGTTCAGGATTGCCTGGAGACAGACCGTGGGAACACAGCAAGGACTGGGGCAGGAGCACGGCAGCCCAGGGAGGGGACAGAGGAGATCTTGAGGTCTGGAGGAAAAGGCTGGGACTTAGATCTGGATTCTAAAGTATGGCCTCCATGTGTATCTTTGGGTCTCGGTTTCCCGCTTCATACTGTGAGGGTTTTGAGTCAGGTAGCCTGAGATCCTTCCCATCTCTGACACCTTTGATGTGCTGCGGCCCCCCAAAACCATGTTTCACGAGGGCGAGAGAATATAGACGCAAGAGGCAGGATTCAGATGGAAGCCTCCCAAAACCGGGGGCTGAGCACCACCCACTATCTCTTTCCTAGCCCTATTTCTGGGCTCCCCAGCGGAGCAAGGGGTGGTGGAGGCGGTGCCCGTGCTGGGCTGAGCCTGCAGTTTTCGTGAGCTCTCGGCTCGTCTCCATGGGAACAGGGGGTGCCTTCCCAGTGAGTTCATTCTGCCCGGAACGTGGGGGCATGCGTGGGGAAGTCAGGAGTGAGCTCAGCTCCTTCATGCCAAGCCCCTCCCAGGACAGAGTGAAGCCCGTGTTCCGGACTCCTGCTCCCTTCGACACCCGAGGGCCAGCAATGGAAGAGCCCACCCTCCGTCCTGCAGTTCCTTCGGCCAGGCTGTCTGAGCTCTGCCCTCAACTTTGTTTTCTCTCCTGTTCTCAATACACTCTGCCTCAAATCTGTCTTGCTTCTTTTCTTCCACACTCACTGGCTGGTGGTCTGGGCCCTCTCCCTCCTCCCCGACTCTGGCCTGGGAACTGTGGTGAGAGTCCGCATGCTGCCTGCATCTGCTGAGTGTCTGGATCTGCTGTGGGCACAGATGTGTGCTGGCTTAGAAGTAAGGGCTGCCTTCTCTCTTCCCCCAGTCAGCTCTCAGGGAACCAGAAACCCTTGGAAGACACATTCTGTTTTCTCCTTCCTTTGGAGTTTGGCCAAAAAGTCTGTAGATGGGAAAAACCCACGCCCCTTATGGTTCAGATTTATTTGAATTCTTTATAAGTGCCTTTAGCCAGAGCATGTATACTTTTTTTCCCCCTTAGTTTCTCCCAGCATCCCACTCTCCCATTATCTAAATCTGGGAGCTTCCCAGTCATCACTGCATATAATAAGTTTCTGCCCCTCATGGAGCCGAACAAACTGCCATCGGGAGCCAGAAAAAAATGGGTTCCAGCCTCAGATCTGCACCTGACTCCTTGTGTGACCTTAGACAACCCCTAGGCCCCAGTCTCCCCTACCACACACAAGGAGAGGATTACAGAAGCTGTGGGCTAGCTGGCTGTCTTTGGTCTCTGATATTCCTCTTTGCTCCACTCATGCCCACCTCACACACATGCCCTACTTTGGGACTGGTGCTGGGTTAAGTGGGTGCTCCTTTCTGAATTTTCACCCATGTGCATTTCCAGGAAGCTCTGGAGTATATGATCAATTGAGATCTTTTTCAGAAAGTGAGTAATTCTGATTCCCTGCAGCATTTTTGTATTATACACTCCCCTCAACCAGGGTGCACATGCCCACAGACACACACACACACAGTCAGTACCCAGACAGGGCAGTTCTGATGAGGTCAGGCCTTGGCCCAATGCCTAAAGATGAGGAGCTGCTCACCACTGCCCCCAACATTCCAACCCACACATTCTGAGAAGTAAGTTCTGTTACTCCTTCCACTTGCTGGCCCTAGCCTTTCCCTTGAAGCCACCAAAGGCAAAGGCAGTCCTTAGAGGTGTCAGACAGTTATCACAGCTCCTCCTGCCGCAGCCTGCTCTTCTGGCTGAAAGCCCTGGTTCCTCTGCCTTAGTGCTTGTTGATGGACTTGGATCATGAACTCTTGGCCCCACTTCCCACAGCCTGGCTGATTGAAAGATTCCTGAGATGGCTCACAGACAGCAGCTCGCACTGTCTCTGGCTCATATACACACAACTGTGACCCTGGAGTAAAAGGGGTGGAGCCCATGCTGAGCTTTAACTTTCCTACTTGATGATTGGAGCCTTGGATGTCCCCAGGAGGTCCCTAACATTACCAATCCCATGAAAACTCTTTAGACTGTGATACATTCCTCTTTAGGTTAAAAGTCTCCATTTCTGAGTCTGGGCCAATCTAGTAGCTGCTGCATTGTTTGGAGAAGACAAATAATTTATCGCTTCCTTTTGATGGAGAGAAATGAGATTCTGACTGGATGAGAGGTTGACTGGTTAGGCTGTGAAAGTTCACTGATTGGATGAGAGAATGGAGCTTATGAGTGGTTCTAGATTTTGATTGGTTAGGAGACACTGAACAGACCAGCTAGTTCTGGACTCAGAGATGACTGCTGGTTAATTTGGATTGGATTGCAGATCGATTGGACTGGCTTGATTGGCTAAACAGATGGATGGTTTAGTATAGTAGTCCTCAACCTTTTTGATACCAAGGACTGGTTTTGTGGATGACAATTTTTCCACCAGGTGGGAAAGGGTGGGGGTGGGATATGGCTTTGAGATGATTCAAGGACAGTAGGGTTCATGCTCTTATGAGAAATCTAATGCTTCTGCTGATCTGACAAGAGGCAGATCTCAGGGGGTAACACAAGCAATGGGGGGAGGGGGGTGACTAAATACAGATGAGGCTGGCTTGCTGGCCACTCATCTCCTGCTGTGTGGCCTAGTTCCTAACAGGCCACAGACCAGTACCAGTCCATGACTTGGGGGTTGGCGACCCCTGATTTAGCAGATACATGCTGGACATGGGTCCCAAGATCTGTATTCTCAAACCAGTTCAAACTTAAATACTTAAGCCCACCTGCAGCCTTTGAGCAGCAGTCAGTCACACACATTTCCTGGTGGGGCAGAATACACCAGAAAGCTATTTACACCTCTGAACTTCATTTTCATCACTGTAAAATGGCTTGTGATAATACCGGCTACCTCACCAGATGGTTGTGAGGATCTGATGAGGGAGGAAGGATGAGAACAAACTTTGTAGACTGGAAAGTCCCCAAGGAGGTAGGAAGCAGGTATGATTGTGCAGAGCAGAGCAGTGCTTTATAACCTCAAAGAGGGTCACCAACTTGGCCTCACCAAATCCACTCTCCCCTACCCCATGCTGGCAAGAGGTCCAGGAAAGGGAGCAAAGACCCAACTTTCTTTTATGTTTCACCTGTTAGTAGGAACTTACATGATCAAGGATCCAAGAAGAAACTAGCAGGTGACCATGGCAATACAACAGGGGGACTGGGACTGAGAAGGCCTTTCCCTAAGTCCAGTCCTAGAAATAATGATCAATATTTTTGGTTTTAATTTTTTAAATAGATAGCATATCCATACGGTTCAAAACCTTAAACTTATATAAAAAGTAATACGTTAAAAGTCTTATTCCCACCCCTATGGCTGTGTACCTTGCCCAGTTCACCCTATTTCCCAACAGAGACCCACTCTGGTTCGTTTCATGTATATCCTTTCATTATGTCTTTATGGTAACTGACATCTGTTGCACACTTAACCTCTTCTAGCAAATCTTATCATACTGTGATATTCTTTTACATAAGTAATCTCACTTACTTCTCACAACAACCCTCTAGGGTACAGGCTGACATTATACTCCCATTTCACAGAGGAGGAAACTGAAGCCCAGGGCCCTTCAGTTGCTTCTGTTGCTGAAGCAATTTGACCAAGTTCATTCATTAAACAAAGGGGTCTATCTCCTAAGAGAGCGATCTTAAACCACCCGGCTCTCTGTGATGCACTGGGGCAAGCAGCGTGGGCTCTTTCAAGCATCTGAAAAATGAAAATTTGGGCACCTCCATTTTACTGCAGTCACTCCTAACTTCAGTCCAAAACCCTGGTATAGAGGAGCCCAGCACTAACACCTGCCCCCAACCTCTCTGCTCTCTCCCCAGGACCGCCGGGAGAGCTTGCCCACCTCCCCGCCCTGGACGCCTGGCGCATCCCGGCCCCCCAGCAGTCTGGATGGCTGGGTGAGCCCGGGGCCCTGGGAGCCGGGCCGTGGGAGCAGCATGAGCAGCCCCCCGCCGCTGCCACCGCCGCCGCCCATGTCCCCCTCGTGGAGCGAGCGCTCCGTATCCCCGCTGCGATCTGAGACGGAGGTGCGGCCCCCCAGCCGCCAGCTGCAGGCGCTTCTGGCTAGAAACATCATCAACGCGGCCCGGCGCAAGAGCGCCTCCCCACGGCCAGCGGGCGCCGAGAGCCTTCGGCCCTTCTCCCCGCCGAGGGCGCTGCTGCTGCCGCCGCCGCCGCCGCCGCCACCGCCACCGCGCATGCGCTCGCCACAGCCTGCACGTCCCGGTCCTGCCGCGGCCACCGGGGCCACGTTCGCTCCGATCCCCAGGAGCCCGCTGCCCGCACCGCCTAGGCCCTTCCCCTACCGCCGCTCGCCCACGGACTCCGATGTGTCCCTCGACTCCGAGGACTCCGGGGCTAAATCACCCGGCATCCTCGGCTACAACATCTGTCCCCGCGGGTGGAACGGCAGCCTGAGGCTCAAGCGTGGCAGCCTCCCCACCGAGGCCTCCTGCACCACCTAATAAGCCTTCCCCGCCCGCACCCCATCCCTGCCCTGGGAGGGCCGCGAGGGAAAAAGTGTCATCGGGCTTGGGAGATCCCAGCACCATGTTCCCAAGGGGTCTGGCTACTTTGACAGCCCCAGAGATCAGGAGTCTGCGGGAGAGAGCTCTGGGTTTGGGGGTGGGGTGATGATCCAATTTGGGTTCTAGCCCTTGCTCTATGGAAAGACTTTTCCAATGCTCCTCAGCTTTCCCATCTGTTTAATAGAGCTTTGGCCAAGGCAATCTCAAACCTCTAAATTCCCCCTTTTATTAATACACACAGGCAGGGCATTGTATGTATGGCCCCCTAAACTCGCTGCACTGCAGGATTCCATACTCCTCTCCCACCTTCCTGGCTCTGATCTCTGGAGTCTGGCAAATGAGGGGGTGTGTTCCAAGGATCCTATGCCTGAGTTGCCTGTCCAAGTCCTGGCTTGACCATCCGCCTCCCTGGCACCAAGTCTCAGGGAGCAGCTGTTTTCCATCTCTTCCCAGACAGGCTCTATTTTTACCATGATGACCTTTAGAGAGGGTCTCCCAGGCCAGCTCAAGGTGTCCGGCTGGCCTCTCTGGAGAGAAGAAGCAGGAAAATTCCTCCTCTCAGATCCCTCTCATGTTTTCTTCATCCCAGTTCAGACTGCCTGGGACATCTGTAGCCAGAGAAGAGAGTTGTAAGGTGATATTTCCCCCAGGCCCAGGACTTGGGCCTCCAGGAATGCTATAGGTGTCTGCAACTCATCTGTCCCTTCTGGGCCCTTTCATGGCAGACTCTGGGCTCAGAACTGAGCTAGGGAGAAAACAGTTTGACCTGGAGCAATCTGTTATCCTCTGGCTTTACTTGATAGCCCTGAGTTTGAGGTTGCCAACTTGGAAGGAGGGAGGCAAAGAGTTGTTCTGGGCAGTATGCAAGCCATGGCAAGGATGCGGAGAGGAGATTCTAGCAGGGAATGAATTGGCTCAGACGACCTCTGAGGGCTCTTCCTGTCCTGAAATGCGTTCCATAGTATTAGGAAGGAAGGGAGAGTAAGTAGTACTGGAGGACTGGCTGGGCAGATGAGTCTGGGTGGGTGAGTGAGGGGTTAGACCAGAGTCTGCCTGTGTTTCTAGTTCCTTAGGAATTACCCCCACTCTTCAGTTTCAGGCTCAGCATCTGTATTGTGCCCGGATGAGTAGGCACTGTTCTGCCTCATCTCTTTCCTGTCACACTCTGGGCTAGCCAGTGTCTGGTGCCCAGTAACAGTGGGCAGCCTGGCTGCAGGCCCTGGTCTGTCCCTTAAGCTGTAGTGACTCTGATTGGGAACCCCAGAAGGGACACAGGGAGGAATGTGCCTCTGTCCTATAGTTTCCAGAGCTGGCTCGTGGTGCCCTCTAGAGGTTTAAAATATCAGTTTCAAGATCCTAAGGGTGGGGGTGGGGGTGGGGGCTGGAACTGGCTGAGGATCAGAGGTATGTATGTAAGTGAAAGGATACCAGGATGTTGCTAAAGGTGAGGGACAGAGCGTGATTTGGGGGGTTAGGGGTAGACTTACCCCACCCCTCAGGTTGATATTAGACCTGGAACCCCTTAGTGAGGCTAGGACAATCTGGGGTCAGGATGGGAGAGAGAATCAGGGGGATATGCTTTGGAATAAAGGACTGATCCCAGAGGATTCCTCAGGCCTAAAGATTGGGAACATAGACTCTGGTGGTAGGAAGCTGAGAGGGTGCTCTAGCTTGTCAGTGATGAGTGATCATATTACTGAAGTCCTGCTTCAGGGACCCTTGTAGCATGGGAGGCTGGGGCTAAGGGCCTCTTTCAGAGAAAAGACACTATCAGGTTACAGTGGCACAGAAAAATCCACTTGTACCTGCATTTCCCACAAAGAGCCAGCAGGAGGCAGCCTTGGGAAGCTGCAGTTCTGTCTGGCTGTTCTCTCCCTGTCACTGCCTTTTCCTCTAGTCCTCTTCTCTAACCCACTAGAAATTGCCTGTGTCCTGCCTTTTGCCTCCTGTAGAATTCAGCTGTGGCCCTCAATAAATGCTTCTTGCATTCTTCTGTCCCTTGTGTCATTTTCAGTTATGTCTAAAGCTCTTCTCTTTCCCCCAGCTGTGGAGCAGTCCATGGGATGTGGGGTGGATGAGAATGTTTGTCACACAAGGGATGGGCGCTTGGAAAGCAGCAACCCTGAGAGAGGTGGGGAACAAAGATAACACCCTGGGCACAGAAGAAGTCCCTGGGTTGAAGTTCTGGTCCTATCACCTACTAGCTGGGTGACCCTGGGTAAACCCACTCCTTCTCCAGGCCCTAGCATCCCTATTTGTATAATGAATGAGTGGGGCGAAGGGATGTCTCAAGGTGGTATCGCCTGGGCCCTGACCACAAGACACTGTCACTGCAGTGGTTGGGGCCAGGCTGCATCAGGGCCCAGCATTCTAGGGCTGCTCCCTGATGACGGGCATCAGGCAGGAGGAGGAGCCCCTACAAGAAGTGACATCAGAGTCCAGGCCACCCTAGAAACTCAGGACCCCCACCATTAGCAGTGCTCCTCTTCTGATGGGGCGTCCTTTGCCCAGAGAAGGGGATCATGGCTCTTCTCACAGGTGAGGCCAAGCCTGCCCTCGGGACCTCCCTCACCTTCCTCTAACAGGGACAGAGCAAAGGACTCTGAGGGTCAGGAAGCTGCGCTCAGGTGATCCACAGCAGAGTTCAGGCTTCTTGAGAGAGATGCCCTTGGACAACCTATCTGGCACACAGGTGCAGGAGATCACTTCCCTGGACCCAGCACATCCCCGCCTGTCCCACCTTTCCCTGGCAGTGGTTAACGCACCTCTGACACAATCTTTATCTTCAGCAGAAGATAAACCTCTCCTGAGCACACTGTCCCCATGCCTACTGGTGATCCTGGTGCCCAGACACCTCAAACCAATTTGAGGTGAACTAAGTATCTGAACTAAGTATCTGTCCAAACTGAACTAAGTATCTGTCCCCCACCACCATTGTTTTCCTTGAATGACTCAAGCCAGAAGTGGGAGTGGCTCTTTCCTCATCTCCTGCAGCCAGTCTCTCACCACGACCTGGTAATTTCCCATACCCCTCAAGCCCCTCTCCTCCTCTCCATGCCCTTTGTCACCGCCCCGGTCTAGCCACCCACTGGCTCTCACTTGACCACAGTGAAATCCTCCTGCCTCCAGTCTCGCTCCCGCCAACCCACTTTCCATAGGGCAGCCAGAGATATCTTTGGAAAATGCCATCCAACTGATCCATTCCACTGCTTTAAACTCCAACAGCCCTTTATAAAACTTTGCTTTTAAAAAGCCTGCTGTGATCCAGCCCCTGCCCACCTGTCTGGCCTCATCTCTCAGCACCACCCCAGCCCCCAGTCCTAGCTGGCCCCTAATATCCTTATATGTGACGCAGCCTCGGCCTGCAATTACCCGTGCCCCTCTCTGCCCCGTGAACTCCCACTCATGCCTCGAGGCCCAGCTCAAATGTCTCCTCCTCTAGGAGGCCTTCCCCACCCCCAGGCTGAGCGGGTGGCACCCTCCCCTGGGGCCCTCCCGGAGCATTTCCCATGATGCGCTGCAGAAGCTGTTTACGGGGCTGACACGGGCCTGGCTGAGCTCCTTGAGAACAGAGCCCTGCCTTATTTATTTTCAGTCCATAGAGAGAAGCTCAGAGAATGTGAGAAGGTAGAGGAAGAGAGAGAAGGGAAGAAGGAAGCAGAAGGAAGAAAGGAAAGAAGGAAAGGAAAGAACAAGTCAAGCAAAGACATTGGGGGATAAATCATTCATTCACCTACCCACCCATTCCATCACTCGTTCAACAAATATCTACTAAGTTCCTACCAGGCCCCACTCTAGGCACTAAGGATATCGTTAGCAAGCTCAGGGGACTGGTGGCTCACTCTCTGCATTTCCAGGTGACTTTGGTGTGTGCATGTGTATGTGTGTTGTACATGTGCATGCAAGGCCTTCTGTGTGTGAGGGCTTGCTGCCGGGGCACCTGTCTTCTCTGGGGCCTGGTGCTTTTAGCATCTGTCCCTGGATCCTATTGCAGCCCGAAATAAGGCTGTGAGCCACGACAAGGCAGGGGCGACTCTCGTCAGCTGAGGCCAGAGCTGGCTGCAGGGCACACCCAGCTCGCTGACCGTCTGCACGGACACTGACCACTCGGCTCTCAGCTTCCCGACAGAGGTGTTAATCTGAGGGTCTGACACCCCCTCCTGCCCACTGTGGCTCCATCTCTCAGGTACCAGGATCCAAGGGAAGCTTGAGGGCTGTGGGTAGTGGGAGGTGGAGAGGAGTAAGGACCCCACAGCAGAGCCAGGACCCTGCAGAAGGGCTGGGAGTGTGGGGCCTCATGGAAGCCTGGATCCTGAATTGGTAAGGGAGGGATCCTAAGCTCTGGGTTAAATGGGGAGGGGTGGCTAGGATTCCAGCTGGAGGGTAGGTTTTGACTGCTCAGACTTCAAGGTCTTTCAGCAACAGAGGGAACAGGGACCTTGTCTGTAAAATGAGGGGTCCTTCCTGATGTCTGTGAATTTCTGTAAGGAGAGTGTTTGTCAAGAAACAGATCTAGAAACTTGGAATCCTAAGTGATCATGGAGCATGCTTCACCAGCTCATGGGCCCCACCCCAAATGCATGTACTTGTGCTCATGTTTGCATGCAGTTTTAGGTGGCACAGAGAGACGCCGAGCTGGAGAGCCGCTTGCTCACACTTACCGAGGGAGTCAGGGGGACAGATTAGAATCCAGGTTGGAAACTCAGCACCCAATGACCTGGGGCCGGGTATGGGAGGGGAGATAATGGATGGAGGCAGGTTGCTCTTCTAAAAGAAGGAATATAGAAAAATCTGGCAGCAAAGCAGAGGGGCACAGAAGTTGGTACGGCTGTCAGGAGACTCAAGGGCTCTGTCTTCTCTCCTGAGGGCAAGGTAGGGACTCTGGACTTGGGGCCTGCAAGGCTTCTCTGGGGCTTTGGACCTCATTTTATTTTAAATCACCTCCAAGATTCCTGGGACACGCCATAGATGCAAATGGGGGACTGGTGGAGGAGGAAGAGAAGCAGAGCACCACGGAAGTGAGCCGAAGGGTGGGGCTACGAAGGGGCTGATGGCCCTCCCAGCTTCCTTGCACCAGCCTGTGCCCCCAAGCTTCAGAGCCGATTACTGGGGACATGAGGGGCACACCTTGCAGACCCGAGTGCAGCCCCAGCCTAGCCAGCCATGCTCCTCTCCCCCAGACTTCAACCTTCAACCTCTTTAAGCCCCTGAGTAGAGCTCACCCGAGTCAGTGGACAACAACAGTCAGACACCCCCACCTCCCCTTCTAACGTCCTAGAAAAAACCCTCGATGAGCCTGTGCTTCCTTAGCAACCTGGAAGCAGATCTGCATGACCTTGAGCATCTCCCTTGCCCTCTATGGACCTCAGCCTCCTGTTTTTTTGCTTGAGACTTGGGTGAGATACAGCTGTGTGGGGCTAAGGCTGGGTGGACCAAGGACTGGGAGGAACAGAGGCAGCTGGGCCCATCTGTAGGGGTGTCTCCTCCACAGGATGATCCCCAAGGAGCAGAAGGGACCAGTGATGACTACCACGGGGGACCTCACTGAACCAGGTAAGGCTGACCCAGCCCCTGTGCATTCCTCAGATCCCATCCTTTCTTGGTCCCAGGCTATAGCCACTCAGCATGCTGGCCCCAGGCCTGGGCAAACAGGTGTGAGTTCCAGGCCAGCCTGTGGAATCTGCCGCCTGGGCTGGGAAGTTTCCCGAAGCATTGAGAGGGGCCTGGCCGTGATTTCGGGGCACACGAGAGCTGAGGTCCAGTGCCAGAGACTGGGCCCTGGCCCCACCGGAGTCATTCCTCAGCCCCAGATTGAGCTCTGTGGGTCCCAGATCGAACCCTACCAATGGCCCAAGCCTCCCACATAATTGCCCGTGTTTTAACTCGGGGTCTCACTGGGCAGCCACAGCACGAGACGAGGGGTTGGGGAGAGTGGGGCAGGGGGGCAAGAGCAGGCTGCCCAACCTGAGTCAGACTATTTCACTTAAAAGCTGACTCAGCCAATGGATAAACCACCTAAAATACATATTTATCAACTTCATAAGACCTCTTAGAGAACTCTTGGCATAATTTTGGAGCCTTTATTTGGCCTACTTTAGAGCATTTCATATATTTTAAAAACAATTCAGCTAAGTCAGAACTCTCACACTTTACTGTGAATCATAGTGACATGGCGCTGTTGCTTAAAAGTACAGATTACTGAGGGAGTCAGGGGGCCCATCAGAATCCAGGTTGCACAGCTCAGCGCCCACGGACCTGGAGCCGGGTATGGGGAGTACAGATTGGAAGCAGCTTGTTTATCTAAAAGAAGGAATATAGAAAAACCTGGAGGCAAAGCAGAGGGGCACGGAAGTGGGTAAGGCTGTCAGGAGGCTCATCCCAACATCCCTACCCAGGAGCTCTGATCCAGGGGACCTAGGGAGGAGGCCAAGCATTAGCCGCTGAGACAAGTACCCGGATGGTTGCCATGCAGGAGAGCAGTGAACCAAGCCCTGAGAAATCCCTGCCTAAGGGCTTCACTGCAGTTTTGCCTCCTTCAGAGTTCTAAGTGTTCCATCATGTGTATAACTTCATCTGTGAGGCATACTTTTAATTTGTTTTGTGTGTTCCTGTCTCCTTTTGTTGGTTTCATTTTTTTTTCATTCCGTGATTTTCATGCTGAAATATGTAAGCTTTGTGAGAGATTGAGGCTCTAAATAGAAGAACCAGGCAATGCACTTTCTTTTCTCTTGTCTAATTAGTTACAGACCCCCCAGTGTTGACGCACATCATTTATGCCAGACTGGAAATACATTCTTTTTTTTGTTGATTATGGCTAGAGTATTAATTAAGGACAACTTTGAAACTAAAGAAAAGTAGACAGGGAAAAAAAGTGCATGAGCTCATCACCAAAAGACAGCTATTGTAAAATAATAATAATACATCATTCTTGTGTGCTTACTATGTCTCAGATACAGTGCTGAGAGCATTTGTACTTTTTGTTATATATATAACCCTC